CAAAAGTTCCAAAGTAAAATAAAAATCACATGTTGCTTTATTTGTATCTTTCTGCACAAAATAATGCATATAGAAATTGTATAAGACCTATCTTCAGCGACTTTCCTCGCAGCTCTCAAGCGGTTTATTTCTCGTCGAGGAAAACCTTCTGATATACCGTATTTAGTGATAATGGACCAACTTTAGGGGAGCTATCAACATTCTCCGAAAGCAGTTTGATATATTGAAAGCTTCAAAAATTCATATCTAATGAACGAATCAACTGGCATTTTATACCTCCTTCCGCCCCAAATTTCGGAGGTACCTGGGAGGCTGGAATAAAATCTTTCAAATTTCATCTTCTCAGATGCTTAAAGTCTCAGATACTCACATTTGAAGAGCTGAGTACTCTGACAACTCAAATAGAAGCTTGTTTAAATTCGCGACTTATTTGTCCTCTAAGTTCAGATTCAGACGATTTTAATCCTCTTACACCAGGACACTTCTTAATCGGGAGACCCTTAACTGCCCCTCCAGAATCTAATGATGATGATGATGTTCCGATAAACTACCTCGATCGCTGGAGCCTGAATAAAAAAAAAATAAAAAATGTATTTTGGAAACGTTGGTATCGAGAATACCTCAACAATTTGCAACAACGCCTAAAATGGCAAAAATCTCACCCAACATTAAGGAAGTTGACCTCATCTTGCTCAAGGATGCCATATCACCACCAGCAATGTATTGGAGCCTTGGTCGCATCACCAAAGTCTTTCCGGGAGAGGACGGAAAAGTTCGAGTCGTCGAGGCGAAGACCAAGCACCAAGAACGCCTTACTAGAACTGTCTCTAAAATAGTACCATTACCTTTTGCTGAGGACTAAGTTAGTCCACCGGGGTGGAGTATGTTAGGTTTTTTAAAATTATTATTATTATTGTATTTTATTAATTAATTATAATTTTCATATTCATAGAATTTTATTGTTAATTATCATCATTTTTTTGTTTTTTTTTCTCTTCTGTTTTCTTTTGTGTTATAAATACAACTAAATCGCATTAAATCGTAGTGTAATTCTCTTTTGTTGTGTGAAATAAATCGAATTGAATCGAATTGAGTCAGCTCGTTCTTTCTAGAAGAAACTTCAAAGAAAACGTGTTAACAGGTACTAGAGACAATGTTTCAAGACTTGGATGGAATCCTTGGCAGAAGCACGTCAGATCCGTGTCAGTATCTACAATAATTGCAAGCTGTGGGTCACAGCTCTGATAGGGAAGGAGCTATGTAGAAAAATATTTATTATTTTATTAACAGTAAATCATTTTTGATATTTATATTTTGCTACTCTGTAAACTCTACTCTCATTGCTTATCTTTTTTTAATATATAATTCATAGTTTTGTTCTTGCCTTTTAAATAAATTGCTATGTCATCCTTAAGTTTGTCTTTCCTAATTTTCCACGTGGCAATATCTAGCGGGGAAGGTGAGGTGTAACAGCCAAGATGGACGTCAACATAAAATTTATTAATATTATTTTAAATCGATTAAAATTATAAATATTTGATTCTATGATATTGTATATAATAAAAAAAGAATAAAAATTTAGTTAATTTTATTATTAAATATAGCCTTATTTTCATTCCAAGAATATGTATTATAAATACCACCTCTCATGAATTGGACACTTCCACTGGTATTGTAAATAAAACAAGAAAACTTAGGTCAGAAGGACAGCCCGGGTAGTTAGCGACTTCTGTACGCTCCAGGAACCTGGGTTATCTAAAAATATAAATAATATTTGATAAATGTGAAAATAATAGAAAAAAAAAAATTAAAAAGTCAGGTGTTGATATTAAAAATAAAGAGGGCATATCCTGACCACAAGCACATGTGCTTTTTAGATGGCAGAGCGCCATCTATGGGAACATTTCTTGGTTTCTCAAGAGATTTTTGGTTGCAGTCGTACAGCCTGCTCCACGCTGACGAGGGCTAACAGCCCGAAACGCGTTCGTGAATGGCTTTTTTTTTTATTTATCAAGAAAATGGGTTGGCCAAATATAAGGGAACAGGTTTGATCAACGTTTAGTTAATTTCTGTTCCACTAGATGGCGCTCTGCCATCTAAAAAGCACATGTGCTCGTGGTCAGGATATGCCTTCCTTATTTTTAATATCTATATATATAAAATTGAATGTATGTGTGTCTGTTTGTTTGTTTGTCCTTTATGCCTGACCAAACCACTCATTGGATCGCCATGAAACTTTGGGAAGTTATTTAGTATAGTACTGGGAAGGTTTCTAGCAAATAAAATTTTTGAAATAACTTTTCGCCTAGAAATAATCAAGATAAATATTTTAATTTATCTGTTATAATTCAACAATCTGCTCTAAATATTATCATGATGATACGATGATTTTGTAATATAGAAAATTAGGAAAGACAAAATTCAGGATGACACGGCAATTTATTTGAGACAAGAATAATGATACAATTCAAAGGCAAGATACTATTCCTTTAACTTCCAATTACCGAGGGAACCAATTAATATTGATTTTATTCAACTTATCGAGTATTTTTCAAGGGACAGGGAAAAAATGTTCACTTTATCGAGAGATTCGTTAAACAAACCTTTACTCGGGTAAAACCCGGGCGAAGCCGGGTACATCCATACAAGAATAATGATACAATTCCAAGGCAAGATACTATTCCTTTAACTTCCAATTACCGAGGGAACCAATTAATATTGATTTTATTCAACTTATCGAGTATTTTTCAAGGGACCGGGAAAAAAATGTTCACTTTATCGAGAGATTCGTTAGACAAACTTTTACTCGGGTAAAACCCGGGCGAAGCCGGGTACGTCCGCTAGTTATAAATATATATCTCTCTTCAATAAAATAATCCCTTGTATCAATATTAAGTAAAAATATCAGGCCTCCAGGTAAAAATATATTTTCAAAACCTTTTTAATCTCTAACTTTCGGGCACGAACGTTCTTCTACAAGAGAATACAATAATCCGCCAATAGAACACGAGTTAAAATATAAAGAAATACTATTTTACTTAATTTTATAAAAATTCTCTAGATATTAAATTTTAATATTCAACTATTATATACAAATGGAGACAAAATCTTTTAAAATATATCTATATTAATAAAATGCAAATTTCATAAGTGTTGTTCACTAAAAACTTTCGTTACAATGCATCAATTTCAATCCAATTTTCAACATTTATGTAAAACGAGATGGAGCAGGTTTTGCTTAACATCAAAATATATTTCCTAACATTAACATGCGTAACTTCGCTGTTATCGATTAAATACAAAAAAAATCAACAGAGTTAATTTTATTTATATACAAATACAAAATTAAATTTCAACAGAGTTAATTTTTTTACATACTAGCTAATAATCTCAATCTAAAAATATAATATAAAAAGCCAACAATGAAGAATGAATGTAAGATAAAAAGCCAACAATGAAGAGTAAATGTAATATAAAAAGCCAACAATGAAGAATGAATTTAAGATAAAAAGCCAACAATGAAGAGTGAATGTAATATAAAAAGCCAACAATGAAGAATGAATGTAAGATAAAAAGCCAACAATGAAGAGTAAATATGATATAAAAAGCCAACAATGAAGAATGAATGTAAGATAAAAAGCCAACAATAAAGAGTAAATGTAATATAAAAAGCCAACAATGAAGAATAAATGTAAGATAAAAAGCCAACAATGAAGAGTAAATATAATATAAAAAGCCAACAATGAAGAATAAATGTAAGATAAAAAGCCAACAATGTAGAGTAAATATAATATAAAAAGCCAACAATGAAGAATGAATGTAAGATAAAAAGCCAACAATGAAGAGTAAATGTAATATAAAAAGCCAACAATGAAGAATGAATGTAAGATAAAAAGCCAACAATGATGAGTGAATATAATATAAAAAGCCAACAATGAAGAATGAATGTAAGATAAAAAGCCAACAATGAAGAGTAAATATAATATAAAAAGCCAACAATGAAGAGTGAATGTAAGATAAAAAGCCAACAATGAAGAGTAAATGTAATATAAAAAGCCAACAATGAAGAATGAATGTAAGATAAAATGCCAACAATGAAGAGTGAATGTAATATAAAAAGCCAACAATGAAGAATGAATGTAAGATAAAAAGCCAACAATGAAGAGTGAGTGTAAGATAAAAAGCCAACAATGAATAATAAATGTAATATAAAAAGCCAACAATGAAGAATGAATGTAAGATAAAAAGCCAACAATGAAGAGTAAATCTATATATATAAAATTGAATGTCTGTCTGTCTGTACTCTATAGATTCAAAAACCATACATCCAATCGCCGTGAAATTTTGGGATATTATTAGGTATATCACCGGGAAGGTTTTTGAAAAATAATTTCATGAATATCTTGAATATCCTTAGAGTTATTTGCAGATTTGTAGATTTAACTCGCAAGCAGCGCCCCCATTGTGACGATGTTAACAAGTTTTCTTATCACTAAGTTTGTTATCTTAAATATTATTTATCAAAAGTAAGATTATCTCAGGATGACACGGCAATTTATTTGAGACAAGAATAATGATACAATTCCAAGGCGAAGATACTATTCCTTTAACTTCCAATTACCGAGGGAACCAATTAATATTGATTTTATTCAACTTATCGAGTATTTTTCAAGGGACCAAGAAAAAATGTTCACTAGATAAAACTATGATTTTCTAATGTAGAAAATTAGGAAAGACAAAATTCAGGATGACACGGCACACAGGGACCGGGAAAAAATGTTCACTTTATCGAGAGATTCAAATTTACGAGTTTCAAATTATCAAAATATATCTTTTTTTTTTAAATAAGTTTTTAGAGAATTGTTTTAACAAATGTTCGCTAGACAAACCTTTATTCGGGTAAAACCCCGGGCGAAGCCGGGTACGTCCGCTAGTATCTAATAAAAGGACAAATAAGTGAATAAATAAATATAGGCATAACTAAGGAAGCAAGGAATACATATTAAGCTGTAGTTATTATTAAGAGATGTTTTCTGCTTTTCGCTATTGCTATTCAGAGGGGATTTCTCTATTTGGATGATTTGAGATGAGCTCAGGGAATAGTATATTATAAATTTCCGGAATGTCCATATTTCTGTTAATATTATTGTGTTTTCTTGATACAATAGATTCTATGATGAATCTCTTGTTTATTGGGGATGTTGGAGTAATGGATTCTTTGTTTTGATAGTGAGAAGGAATGACCTGTTTCTCTTACTTGATGATATACTAGAGATCTACTGTGTCTTGGTTTTCGATATTTCGTTGATGTTCTGATATTTTTATATTCAAATTTCTGCTGGCATTTCGCCTACGTATTTAGTTTTGCATTCGTTGCATTCTATAGAGTATATGTCATTCTTGATATTGGAAGCATAATTAATGCTTTTGTTCTTTGTTATAAGGTTTCTCAGTAGCGAACTTAAATTGGGTGAGTTGCAGAAGAAGGTTTTAATTCCGAATTTCTCCAGATGACGAGCTATTGATATGGATACTGGTGAATAGGGAATGCTTAAAATAGATTTGTAAACTGAGGATTTTGTACTTTAGAGGGGCTATGGAAATGCCTTGAAATAAATGATGAAAGATATTGACAAGTTTTTAGATTTCTTAAGATATATTCTGGGTCTCTTCTGTTTTAAAGGTTTGAAGTGAGCAGTGGCTATTGACACGTTTAGTAAGGGTCTTTAATGTATTTATTTTATGGGTGAGAAGGCAGTAGGAGGAAAAACGTATATAGTCGGGGTTGAAGGATGGCTCATAGTAAACAGTTTTTTGGAATTGATGCTGTATGCGCATAATTTTTATATCTAAAAAAGGCAGGCTATTGTTTGTTTATTTTTCGTATGTGAAATTCAGGTCGCGATGGTAACTGCTAAGTTTTTACAGAATGTTTTTAGTTCGATTTTAGGGGCAGATACAAAATATATCGTTAATATATCGACGCCAAAAAAACTGCATCGGAAGGAAATAGGGAGGTCATCCAACTGTCCATGCGACACATGACAATTCCGGCGACTGAGGTTGAAAGAGAGCTACCCATGGGAGAACCTTTTATATGTTTGTAAGTTTTGTATTTTTAAAATTTGTTTCGAGGCATAGGGCTGTAAGTTTTGATATTTTGTTGTCAGTGATCTGATCAATCTTATTTTATTTCAAGAACTCTTCAGTGCTGTTTAGTATCAGTTGATGTGGGAGACTGGGGTACAGGGATTCAACATTAAATGAAACCATAATCTTGTCTGGTGGGGCTTGGCACTTGAGCAATTCTTCTGTGAATATAGAGTTGTTGTAAATGGAGTATAGGAAGCTTTGTTGCTTTATGATGGTCTTAAGAAAGGCTGAGATGAATTTAGAAATAGGTGCTGTTGGGGAATGGTAGAAGGCCACTATGGGTCTTAAGGGGACACCTGGTTTATGAATTTTAGGGAGGCCATAAATGTGGGTATTGGTTTGCATATCAGACATGAAGTCTTTTAATTCTTCATTCGTTATTTTATTTTCCTTGTGTATTTTTCTGAGTTATTTTTTGTATGAAGAGTATTCTCGGATTTTATTTTCTTTGGAAATGTGCTTAAAGGTGATTGGGTCTTCAAGGATGCTTAATATTTTTCTGTAGTAATCGGATTTGTCTAGAATCGCTGTTTGTTTTCCTTTGTCAAATTGGGTGATGATTTTTTTTTTTTTTTGAAGTCTTTAATTAGTCGATTTTTATGTGGGTTGCATGGGGAAAGGTCACGGGTTCACTAAGAAGGCTGGTTACATGACCCTTCCCCCATTCAACCCACATGAAAACCCACTAACCCGGATTAACCAAATAAATAATAATGGGATACTCCAGGAACCTGGATTAACCAAATAAATAATAATGTGATACTCAATGAACCCGGATTAACCAAAAAAATAATAATGGGATACTCCAGGAACCTGGATTAACCAAATAAATAATAATGGGATCCCCTCAGGGAACCCGGATTAACCAAATAAATAGTAATCTAATTCTCTCATGGAACCGGGATTCCCCAAATTCATAATAACTAATACTCCGGGAACCTGGAATAACCAATAAAAACCCCAGGGGCTCAGTCATGAGCAGGGCAAAAAAGAAAAAAGGTGTGGTAGAGCTTTCCAATACCTCTTTTCACCTTTGAATCCTTTCACAACTCTCACAGAGTACGGGCAGTCATGGTCGAGGTAGAATGGAAGACTTGGGATTGTCCACACAAAAAAAAAAACAAAAAAAAAACGAAGGGACACAGTTGCACTGGGAAAGTTCCGTGAACAGAAAGAGTTGAGATAAGCAGCAAAAGATGGAGAGGGTTAAAATGGAGATTTCTTGCTGTCCTATGGTGGCATGGTCAATGGAGTGGACGTACTGTCATACGCTTCCGCGGACTTTGAAGTGGCTCTCCATTTCCGGATTTTCAGGGATTTATATATCATCCATATGCGGAAGTACTGGGCCTTTGTGTGACATAATATTGGGGGAATCAAGCAGTAAAGGTCAATGTACTCTCTTAACGACTTTCTGGAAACTTCCGACATCTTTAAGCCTCGTTCGTAAACGTTGTTGGACTTCTATATATCACTTTCTGCTATTTAACTCAACTCTTCTTCTACTACACAGTTTAATTTTATGATCTTCAGTTTATACAGAGTTCATTACATATTGTGATGCAATGGTTCATGTATAACTTGGTATAATTAGTTACAGAAGTGTTTCTATTATACAACATGTTTTACATCATACAATCTAGTTATATTACACCAATAAGGGGTTGTTAGTTCAAATTACCACGCACACATATCTATGAAAAACAATAGAAAAAATATATAAAAGGGTCAGATTTTGACATTAAAAATAATGAAAGCATATCCTAACCAGGAGAACATGTGCTTTTTATATGGCAGAGCGCCATCTAGTGGAACAGAAATCAACTAAACATTGATTTAACCCTTTCCCTGATATTTGGCCAACCCATTTTCTTGATAAATCAAGAAAAGCCATCCACGAACGCGCTTCGCGCTGTTGGCACTCGTCAACGTGGAGCAGGCTGGACCACTGACCAAAAGTATTTTTGGTCTCAGAGACTTCTTGAAAAACCAAGAGAGAATACATATCATATATTATATGAATATCATATATACCATTACTATTCTATTATATACTAATTACTGAATATAAGAACTGACGTGGTCAGCTCGCCCTACATACAAGTATGTACTATAGCCGTGATTATGGACCAGATTCCTATTTAACACACCTTAATACAAAAGTACCTCTAAGATACCATAAAAGTCCTAAATAAACAAATTTATAGAGCCTAAGTTCATCCTAACCTAACAGGTAGTAGACTTTTAGAACTCCCATTAGGTTCTATTTGTAGGTTCTCTTAGAAATACACCTTATTTATAAATACCTTTTACTTTCCTTAAATTACCACTTCCCAGCTCAATATACTCATACCCATTATATTTTAGGTGCTTTTTGACCTCACAAGTATCATAAAGAAACCTGTAGTTAAAATAGATCGACGCCTCGCTGAGAACGGGATGGTACAGGGGAAGAGAAAAAACATTGCAAGAAAGACAAAAAGAAAGAAGGAAGTAATAAGGCGACCGTCTACCACAAAACCAGTTATCCCCTTCCCCAACGCGATAACTCCTTCTCCCACCGAAATGTCCCCCTGACAGAACACAATCTAAAACCTACTGAAACAACGAGAACGGCTGCGTACAAAGATCAAACATACCATTGCACTCCTCTAGAACAGGGGTCGGCAAACACCGGTTCGCGAGCCACATGCGGCTCTTTTGAATGTGAAGATTCGGCTCTTTATATAGTTCCATACGCAAATATCATTGCCACGTTAAAAACTAGGGAAGACCAACTTCGGGATGAGACAGCAATTTATTTCAGGCAAGAACAAACTATGAGGGATAAACAAAAGATAAGCAAAGAGGAAAGTGTACAGAGTATAGCAAAAAATAAACATAAAAATGATACTCTGCTAATAAAATAATAAATACTTTGTTACATTATTTATGCGAGTACTATTTATTGTTGGCAAGAAAAAATGGTGTGGCTTTTTAAAAACTTTGAAATTTTGTAAATTGTAATCTTTTACTCATTCGACTCAAAATATTGCCGACCCCTGCTTTAGAACGATTACATCACATCACTGTGTGTGTTGCTTATCTCATACTTTACTCTAAATGCCTCATTAATATATTAACCCGTATCTCTCACTTTACACACAAAAGTAAAAAGTACTAGGGCCTAAAGTAAAAGTAACATACAGAAAAGCGCACGCTCAAAAATACAACAAACAAAAAAAAAAAGAGGACGTAAAAGAAATCTCACGATAACTTTTAAAAAACAGTACTTATCTTTTATTGCAGCACTGATAAGGAGTGGACCGGGATTACACAGGAATGTGACGGGATCACCAGACACAGAGAAAGCGTGCAGAGAACACTTTAAACGTTTCCACACAAAAACTCCTGGAAGAGTACCCGCAACAACAATTAATTTCTCCCGCGTGTAAAAAAAAAAAAAATCCGACATCGGGAATCGAAACCGGGCCTCCTGGGTAAGAGCCAGGTATCCTAGCCACTAGACCATGCCGGAGACTAAAAAAACTTCCCACGCCGGGAATCGGACCCGGGCCTTCTGGTGAGAGTCAGGAAGAGTCCGCGCATTCATAATATATTTCTCCCGCGTGTACCATTCGCTTTATGTGAACTCTACACGACAATAGAGTCCGTGCATTACCTATGACAACAAAGTATTGTTGTTGCATTAGAGAGAATATGGTTTTACGGGCTATAACCAAAGTGTATGATTTTTGAGCCTAAAAAAGACGTCCGCGACAGGACTCGAACCTGCATCTTCTTATCCAAAGTCATGTTGTTGCATTACCTATGAACTACATTTATATACAAAAAATGACCACATTCTCTAATCAGAAGGCGTGGGAGATCGGTTCGCTAATTAATTACAAATAGCCAATATTGTTACGTAGAAAGAAAAGCACATTCCAGAATGGAGAGAGAATGTTCTAGAGCGTTTAAGAATAATGTATAAAAAGCGGAAGACAACTGATTGGCCAATCTAAAGCGATTGCGCAAAGCTTAGTGCTGGCGGCTTTCTGATTGGCTGACCAACCATGACCGTTCTGGAAAGATCTACTCCGGGATATATAGGGATGAGAAACTCATGCCAGGGGGAAGAAAGATAAGAAGTGGAGAAGAAGAACGAAGGCACGTAGTGGACTCCAAGCAAACGATGCTGTCTCAAGAGGTCGGACTGCTGCTTACCGCCGACGCCGGTGTACTTCCTGGAAGTTTCTAGAAAGGTCTACCAACTTCTGTCTCCTGTTCTGCGCCTGCTTTCCTTCACTGTGCTGCAGTTGGTGAGTTTGTAACTGCTGTTTTCTTTATTATTGTTTTATTTTTGCCCTCTTCTGAAATTATTTTATCGATTAGGTTTAAATAAAGTCCTAAAGATCCTTTGTACACACGGAAGTTATTCTTTGTCAACGAACAACGCATTAATATTCTTTCCACATAACTGATAAACTTATACTGTGCTTATATATGTTTGCCAAATAATTTGACAACAGCATAGGATGACCCTGCGATCTAAGGTGCGACACTTATTTGACGGGGATCATTAAGCAATACAGAACAATGCCATAACCTCAAGCATATGCTACATGGTTCTATCTCTCATTAAAGAAGATGATCAAAACACCATTTCAAATTGGTCAGAAGACAGTCAACGGTCTCATTGACTTATTATCTTCTAAATACCAGACATACCACAAAATCTGCTGCCAGAATGAAGATATTGTAGCAAAGTATTTATTATTTTTAATTAACAGAGTATCATTTTTGATGTTTATAATTTGCTACTCAGTAAACTTCCCTGATTGCTTATCTTTTTCTTTTTTTTTTACATAGTTTGTTCTTGCCTTAAATAAATTGCGGCGCCATCCTGAAGTTTGTCTTCCCTTATTTTCCACATGGCATTTTTGTGTAGATGCTGGGTAAATTAGGGAAAACAAACTGAAGACCGCCGAGAATACCTTGAGGCCATGGGTGCTGTGATCTTCATTTTCAGAGACTGGCACCAGGATTCCACCGCCAAGTCAAAGCCAAGACTTCCTTCCAAGATAACGATGTCCCCATAGACGATACGACGATAAAGCCGCTCTTCACACCGCATGAAAAAGAACGCAATGGTACTAGAGACAAAGTCCCAAGACTACGAGGGAATCTTTGACAGAAGCACGTCAGATCCATGTCAGTAACTACAATAATTGGAAACTGTAGGAAAGAAGCTATATAGCAAAGTATTTATTATTTAATTAACAGAGTATCATTTTTTATGTTTATAATTTGCTAATCTGTAAACTTCCCTCATTGCTTATCTTTTGTTTATCATTCATAGTTTGTTCTTGCCTTAAATAAATTTCTGCGCCATACTGTCTTTCCAATTTTCCACGTGGCAATGTTGATGTGGAATGTATGTGATATCTTGGGACCTCTGGGACCAGTGTTACCTGATGCTAGACGAACCTCGATGTCAACTCTACCGTGCAGTCGTGGTGGAAGGCGACACAGCTGGGCCAAAGGTGAAATAAACAAACAGAGATTTCACTAAGAAGCGTCTGAACGTCAAGGAGGAATGGGACGAGGAGATTTCTGGCAGGAAAGGGCTTACCTCTATCGGAGCGGCCTGCGGACTGGGGCTGAAACAAAGACTGAAGACTAACTAACTAACTGAGGCTTGGGGCCTCCTTTTTGTAGCCTCTCTAGGTCCAAGCAGGTCACTGCCCTTTTCTGACGTAAACAGGGGGGGAAGTTACATCATCCAGGAGGGCCACGACCTCGTAAAAATTGGACTGGGCTCGATAGGCCTGCTTTCTTATTCTCACTTAGGCCTGATTAGTTTTAACCTTAATTTTCTTCTGTTATTCTCCATTCCTTCTATCTGTACAGTTGCTATACTTTATTAGAGTCTTACGCGGTACACAATGGTATTATGTGATGCTATATATTTTCAGTAAATAACAAGTTATATACAGTCACGTGGTGGAACATGTGGTAGTAGATATCTGGATTATTTACAACAATTCCATGGTCTTAAATCATTACATGTATATATTGCTTATATTTCATTTTCAGAGATATACACTTTCAATAAGTCACAAATACTAAATCACGGAATGAATATAAAGTCACAAAGCTAACTACTCAAAAGCAAAATAAAATCTAATTATTTAATGGTGATAGATGAATTTTAGTTATCTAAATCCAATTGTTCAATAATAGTAACTATAGAATATATATCTCTCTATTTTTGAGAATTTTTAAATAAACGCGTTATTGTTAAAGTTTGAAAAATATTATATTCATTTACCTTTATTTTATTTTCTCTGGATTTATTTATACTTGTTTCCTCACGATGACAAAATATTACTTCTAACTTTTAAACTCATGTACAAAACTCAAGGAAGTTGTACCTTTTAGCATGTATATCGTGATTCAGACAATAATTCTGAAAATATTTGATACACAGTGACTTTTAAAGAAGACACACGAGATAACCAAATGTGAAAAAAATTGCCTCTGTCTCCTTAAAAAAAAAAGAGGAATGGCAATATCAAAGACTTTCCATTTTCTTAAGTTTTGCCCAAGAGTGTATATAATAATTGTAGCAAAAATATTTATTATAAGTATGATTATTATTTTATTTATTTATTGGAGCACATGGAGCACAGGGATACGACGACCATAGAAGAGATCCAGGAGAACGACCTAGAGCAGATGAAAGGAGACCTGACAGACAAGAATGGATCAAGGCCAGGGGACCATCTTATCGAGGAGCCACTAGGAGAGGCCATAGAAAGACTGCTGGAGAGCTGCAGGACATCAGGGGACCATAACGGCAAGGGCCACAGCACTGACCAAGAGTCAAGATAGCAAATGTAAATATCTTTGTTTACTTTTACTGTTGTCATTTATTGAAGTTGTAAATAAAAATATGTAAATAGACTGACCATTCGCTACACTTTTAGAGAAAAACTTGCAACCTTTTTGAAAAATAATTTTTTAAATATTTATATTACAAGAGAGTATTTATATATTTTGCTACTCTGGAAACTTCCCTCATTGCTTATCTTGTATCTTATGTGATTTTGTTTTTGCCTTTAATAAATTGCCGTGTCATTCTGAAGTTTTTATTTCCTAATTTCCTACGTTACATTAGGGAAGACAAACTGAAGATCGCCAAGAAGACCTCGAGGCCTTGAGTGCTGTGATCTACATTTTCCCTGACTGGCTCCAAGATTCCACCACCGTGTCAAAGTCAAGGCTTCCCTACAAGAAGACGATGTTCCTATTGACGATAGGACGCCGAAGCCGCGCTTCACGCCGCAAGAGAAAGAACGCGAAGCTACTAGGGACAAAGTTTCAAGACTCCAAGGGAATTATTGGCAGAAGCAAGTTAGATCCATGTCAGTATCTACAATATTTGCAAGCTGTAGGTCACAGCTCCCATAGGGAAGGAGCTATGTAGCAAAGTACTTATTATATGTACAGATTATTAATTTTTATATTTATATTATTTATATTTTGCTACTCTAGAAACTTACCTCATTGCTTATCTTGTCTCTTCTCTATATATATATATATAATAAAAATGGCATATCCTGACCAGGAGCACATGTGCTTTACAGAAGGCAGAGCGCCATCTGGTGGAACAGAAATCAACTAAACATTGATTTAGCCTGTTCCCTGATATTTGGCCAACCCAATTTCTTGATAAATCAAGAAAAGCCATCCACGAACGCGTTTCGCGCTTTTTGGCGCTCGTCAGCGTGGACTAGGCTGTACCACTGCGACCAAAAAGATTTTTTGGTCCCAGTAGCTTCTTGAGAAACCAAGAAATGGGTATTTAAGGCCAAACTTGCGTAAATACGCTTAACACATGAAAAAACGAAAGAAAAAAATAAAAGATAAAAAGATCAGGTGTTGAAATCAATAATAAAAATGGCATATCCTGACCAGGAGCACATGTGCTTTACAGAAGGCAGAGCGCCATCTGGTGGAACAGAAATCAACTAAACATTGATTTAGCCTGTTCCCTGATATTTGGCCAACCCAATTTCTTGATAAATCAAGAAAAGCCATCCACGAACGCGTTTCGCGCTTTTTGGCGCTCGTCAGCGTGGACTAGGCTGTACCACTGCGACCAAAAAGATTTTTTGGTCCCAGTAGCTTCTTGAGAAACCAAGAAATGGGTATTTAAGGCCAAACTTGCGTAAATACGCTTAACACATGAAAAAACGAAAGAAAAAAATAAAAGATAAAAAGATCAGGTGTTGAAATCAATAATAAAAATGGCATATCCTGACCAGGAGCACATGTGCTTTACAGAAGGCAGAGCGCCATCTGGTGGAACAGAAATCAACTAAACATTGATTTAGCCTGTTCCCTGATATTTGGCCAACCCAATTTCTTGATAAATCAAGAAAAGCCATCCACGAACGCGTTTCGCGCTTTTTGGCGCTCGTCAGCGTGGACTAGGCTGTACCACTGCGACCAAAAAGATTTTTTGGTCCCAGTAGCTTCTTGAGAAACCAAGAAATGGGTATTTAAGGCCAAACTTGCGTAAATACGCTTAACACATGAAAAAACGAAAGAAAAAAATAAAAGATAAAAAGATCAGGTGTTGAAATCAATAATAAAAATGGCATATCCTGACCAGGAGCACATGTGCTTTACAGAAGGCAGAGCGCCATCTGGTGGAACAGAAATCAGATGGCGCTCTGCCTTCTGTAAAGCACATGTGCTCCTGGTCAGGATATGCCATTTTTATTATTGATTTCAACACCTGATCTTTTTATCTTTTATTTTTTTCTTTCGTTTTTTCATGTGTTAAGCGTATTTACGCAAGTTTGGCCTTAAATACCCATTTCTTGGTTTCTCAAGAAGCTACTGGGACCAAAAAATCTTTTTGGTCGCAGTGGTACAGCCTAGTCCACGCTGACGAGCGCCAAAAAGCGCGAAACGCGTTCGTGGATGGCTTTTCTTGATTTATCAAGAAATTGGGTTGGCCAAATATCAGGGAACAGGCTAAATCAATGTTTAGTTGATTTCTGTTCCACCAGATGGCGCTCTGCCTTCTGTAAAGCACATGTGCTCCTGGTCAGGATATGCCATTTTTATTATTGATTTCAACACCTGATCTTTTTATCTTTTATTTTTTTCTTTCGTTTTTTCATGTGTTAAGCGTATTTACGCAAGTTTGGCCTTAAATACCCATTTCTTGGTTTCTCAAGAAGCTACTGGGACCAAAAAATCTTTTTGGTCGCAGTGGTACAGCCTAGTCCACGCTGACGAGCGCCAAAAAGCGCGAAACGCGTTCGTGGATGGCTTTTCTTGATTTATCAAGAAATTGGGTTGGCCAAATATCAGGGAACAGGCTAAATCAATGTTTAGTTGATTTCTGTTCCACCAGATGGCGCTCTGCCTTCTGTAAAGCACATGTGCTCCTGGTCAGGATATGCCATTTTTATTATTGATTTCAACACCTGATCTTTTTATCTTTTATTTTTTTCTTTCGTTTTTTCATGTGTTAAGCGTATTTACGCAAGTTTGGCCTTAAATACCCATTTCTTGGTTTCTCAAGAAGCTACTGGGACCAAAAAATCTTTTTGGTCGCAGTGGTACAGCCTAGTCCACGCTGACGAGCGCCAAAAAGCGCGAAACGCGTTCGTGGATGGCTTTTCTTGATTTATCAAGAAATTGGGTTGGCCAAATATCAGGGAACAGGCTAAATCAATGTTTAGTTGATTTCTGTTCCACCAGATGGCGCTCTGCCTTCTGTAAAGCACATGTGCTCCTGGTCAGGATATGCCATTTTTATTATTGATTTCAACACCTGATCTTTTTATCTTTTATTTTTTTCTTTCGTTTTTTCATGTGTTAAGCGTATTTACGCAAGTTTGGCCTTAAATACCCATTTCTTGGTTTCTCAAGAAGCTACTGGGACCAAAAAATCTTTTTGGTCGCAGTTCGCCACTACACCTTCCACTTCAAGATCCTAGACGACGAAAAGTGCCTTAGAGTCGTCGTCAGAGGTCTCGACCGCTGCATCACTATCCCCGAAATACAAGAAGATCTGGAAAACAAGGGATTCGAGATGTCTAAACTTGCAAGACTACGAAATTCAAGAACAAAGGAGGAGCTCCCACTAATCCAGGTAACCCTTCCCAAGACTGAAAGGAATAAAGAAATTTACAATATCACAGATCTCTGCGACATGAAGTGCAACGTCGAGGCTTACAGGGCTCCCAAAGGCCCCGGACAATGCCATAGGTGCCAAAACTTTGGGCACTCTCAGTTTGAATGCAGGGAAACTCCCAAATGTGTAAAATGTGGAGAAAATCATTTCACATCCGAATGCGCCAAAGAAAAAGAAGTCCCACCTAAATGTGCAAACTGCCAGGGTCAGCATACAGCAAGTTGGCGTGGTTGCCCACTATACAGAAAAATAAATAGAGTGCCCCAAACACAAATTAATAAGAAACCAAACCCCAATACAGAAAAAGAAAAATCCAACCCTACAGGTCCAAACCCTTCTGAAATTCCCCAACCCACTCAAAACAAGAATAAAACTCCATATGTCAATAAAGAACGTCCCAATCCTCCTTCAGCCACTAAGGTCAACCAACTAGAGAGCGCTATCAAAAAGGCTCTCAGTGACCCCGCAATAATAGAAAACATCATGAAGAACGTTGTAGACACCTTTAGATGTAAATGAATAACAAAAATATGTATAAAAATAGCCTTCGAATCGTTCACTGGAACGCGTGCAGTCTCCGAAACAAAAAACAACAATTCTCAGAATTCCTGAACGACCACGACATCGACATCGCACTAGTGTCAGAAACCTGGCTTAAGCCGTGCCATAAAATGAGGATTCAAAACTTCATCACCCTCCGCAACGACAGACTAACCGGACAAGGTGGTGGAACTGCCATTTTCATCCACAAGAAGTACAGCCATGCACCTATTCATGCCACCACCTCAAGCCTGGAAACAACAGGAATTTCAATCAAAAACAAAAACGGGTTAAATATGAACCTGTATTCGTGCTACAAACCACCAAACACCTATCTAGATCAAACCGATATCTATAACATTTTTTCAACAGACACACCGACCATCATAGCAGGGGACCTAAACTGCAAACATCCTGCCTGGGGTTCCACCACCACTAACCCAAGCGGGAGAAGGCTCCAAAACGCAATCAACGTTATGGACCTAGATGTGAGCTACCCCGACGAACCTACTCATGACTCACCTCCAGACATCATAGATATCGCCGTGCACAAAAACATCTCCCAAAGCGCATACTCTAAAGTCCTGCACGAACTAACCTCTGATCATCTCCCAGTACTACTTGTACTACAGGATTTCAAAATCTCCTACTCAAATACAAAAATAAAAATTACAGATTGGGCCCTATTCAAGTACAAAATGGAAATCGCTGAACCTCCTGAACTGATCCTAGATACATCTTCAAAAATAGACGAGGCCATTACACACATTGAAGAACAAATGGTGCAAAATTTGAAAGATTCAACAAAATATAAGGACCCGGAACTAGAACGAAGATATCCACCTCACATTAAAGAAAAAATACGATCCACCAACAGACTAAGGAAAAAAATGAAAAATACTTGCGACCCCCGAGATAAATCAGCCTACATGACGGCCCGGAGAGAATCACAGAAACTTACAAGAGAGCACGATAACACCAGCTGGGACCACTTTATCGAAAACTTGAAAGTCACGGACCAAACCATATGGAAAGCCATCAAACGATTATCCAACTCTGAAAAACAAGAAATAACCCTGAAGACAAACAATGGGCAGACACTAACCACAGAAGAAGCAGCTGAATCATTTGCCAACAACTATGAAAAACAGTTCACCCCCAATCCCTATACATCCCACTCCAAACCTACTCGTACATACATCAAACGTGTGAATTCATACATGAAAAAAAATAAAGAAACAGGACTAGAACCAACAAACATTGGTGAAATAAAAGCGATTATTGAATATCTACCAAATAAAAAAGCTCCCGGAATCGACGAATTACCTAATGAAGCTCTCAAACTGCTCCCTAATCATATACTAGCATCAATAACCGAAATATTTAACGCCTCACTGCAGCTTGCCCACTTCCCTGACAGATGGAAAACGTCCATTATCTGTCCCATACTTAAAAAAGGAAAATCCATCCATGAACCAACAAGCTACAGGCCCATCTCACTGCTACCTGCCATCTCAAAACTATTCGAAAGAATTGTTTTAAGAAGACTCAGAAAATCCCTAGAAGAAAAGAATCCACTCAGACCTGAACAATTTGGCTACCAAGCCAAACAC